AATGGCAGCCAGGATCCAGTTGTGGGATCAATGGCAGCCAGGATCCAATTGTAGGATCCTGGCTTCGGTTTCAACTTCAACAACAGATACAAAAAGCAAAATACTTCAAATGACTTACATGACCAAAGAACAAGAACGGTAGAAGAAACGTGAGGCCTCTCCACATCCAAGACTGGAAACCTTCTGTAAATACAAACCCACGATGCTCAGTTAGTCTAGACAAGGTGGAAAGACCTGCTCTCTTCCGAGACCTCCTCCAATCAAATGTTCACTGTTGGATTTGGCCACTCAATGTGGTTAATTAAAAATAAAAACACAGCCCCACTCTCCTATATCAGTCCTACCTCGACGTTAAACCTACAACATGTGCCAACAGCTTATGCAGGAAACACACAACACGAGCTTCAGCTAAGTGGCCATGGGGTGGTCAAGAGGGGACCAGTCCTCAGTGGGGTTAAAGGTCAGTTAGTGGATGCTGACACAGCCAGTCAAGGGACTTGAGAGATTCCAGTCCCCCGCTGGATGTGGTCAGTCAGTAACCTGGCCCTCCCAAAGGTCAAGTCTAACCAGCCCGAGGATGACAGGGAGGTCACTCAGGGAGCTGGGGAGGCTCTACACGGGGCTGGCCTGTAAGATCAGTCCAGACACTGGGTCATGGTCAGCCCTAAGTACTTGTTCACCCGACAGTTATCAAAGGACAGCTCCACAGTGTTCTGGGCAAAGTGAGCAACCCGAGTCTGGGGCTGGGCTCCATGGGACTGGGTCACTGGTGACAGCAGTGTGGGGCAATGTGGAGATAGTAGGATCTGAGCTCAGAGTGAATAGGATGAGGTTGGGAGAGGGGAGCAGAGAGTCACACAGGTTGGCTTTTACATGGGGAGGGTGTAAGGCTCACCAGGTCTTGGGAATTTCTAAAATCATAGGCTCTGGGGGTAAACTGGGGACAAATATCATTACATTAAGGAGCTCCGTGGTGGAGGGTGTCACTGAGAAGTCACAGGGGTTACAGGGACAGCAGCAGCAAAAGGAACGCAAAGGATGGGGCCTTGCGAGGTCATACCACACCTCATCAGATCCAGAGTGTGGTGGACCCAGACCCAATGTTTAACAGCATCATGGAAGAATTAATCAAGATAGTTAAATCATTACTGAGTAATTTAACATCGTCAGTGTGACACATTTAGGAGCTATTTATTCTAAAGGGCCTGGATCGTTTACAATGCATCAGCAAATTCTAGCAGCCATTGGCTATGTGACTGTAATTTACACCCATTCACTTTATCTAGATCACCAACCCACAGCATCCATTAAAGATTAACTCTTTATCAAATTAATATCTAAATGAAAGTGAAAATAGAAATTAAAGTGCACATAATTTTATAGAATTTACAGCCCAGACAATGGCCAAAATGCCATTCACATTCCACACCAGCTCCCTCCCATTGACTCATTGACAATTGAGTTAGCAATGAGTGCACTCACCTACAGTCAGGTCCATGTTATGTCTCTCTCCCAGGGCTCGGAGTCTGTACAGGCAGCCACTCTGATAATAATACTGTAGGAACTGCACAAAGCCTACACAATACAAGCACAGTGAGTGAGCCAGGAGCCCAGACATTCAAACCCCAAAGGCAACCTCTGGTAATCCCTCTGCTGGCAGGAACTGTATGGACTTACCTGTGATTCTTATTATATTGCTGAGCCATGAAATTGGGCACTTAGAGCTGGATTATTGCTGAGTCATGATGACTCCCAAGCCATTTAAAAACGGAGAGACAGACAGACTCATTTCCGGGATTCCTGAACCCATTCCCAGCAGCAATGATTTTCACAGTACACGTGCCAAGTTCACACCTTGCAGGCCTGACCTGACCAGCTCCATTATAATACCTCTTAACACCTTACAATATTCACAGAGCAAAACAGGCTTCTCTGTGATGTAAGGTTTAGGAGCCCTCAGAGGAGTGTGAACCCGGATTTGGGAACTTATCAAAAAGTATGTTCAATAGCTCTTACCCAAATCCCTACCGTCCACTCCCATGAGCTGTCATGGCCTCCATGACCACTCAATACCGATTCATACACATCCCCAGTTAGGATTCAACTCAGTTTCGTTATACTTTGCTGGGAGCCCAGACCGATAAAACCTTATAATCTGACAAGTGAACAGTTTATTTGCTTGATTGACAACTCTAAGTGGTTATGGCACACTGTTCTTAACATGATCTCTTTTGTCAATGCCTCATGTTTATTTCATCAAGATTAGTCTCAGCTGGTGATACTTTAAAGACTGTGGGGAAATAGTTTTGGTTCAGTATTTCACAGAACGAACGAGGGTTCTGTACCGAACATGACAGCAGGGGCAGATCATGACTCATCAAATACAGAAGAGATTGCATAAACTTTATGCAATACTGCATGTCCCATAACTAACCCATCCAGCCTGCACATCCCTGGATACTATAGCCAATTTCACACGGCCAAACCATCTAACCTGCACATCTCTGGACTGTGGAAGGAAACCCACGATGACATGGTGAGAATGCGCAAATTCCACACGGTGAGTCGCCCGAGGCTGGAATTGAAACCAGGTCCCTGGCATTGTGAGGCAGCAATGCTAACCATTGGTTATGGGGAGAAGCGGGACGGGGGAATGGGGTTGAGAAACATGTCAGCCATGATCAAATGGCCCAAATGGCATAATTCTGCTCCTATATCTTTTCAAGGGGTTTGTGCTTCAGAGGAGTTGGTGACTCTGGGTGCATGCTCACTAGAAGATTGGAGGCAGGAGACCTCCCCAATCTTCCGTTGATTCTTTGTCTTGTCGTGGGTGGCCAATTCATTCCATCACGTGGCCAGCAAAAACAAACCAGGCAGGCAGGTCATTATACCATCCAGAAACTGCCATCAGCTCTTCTTGTCCTACTCAGCTAACAACGTAATTCTAGTAGTAGTGGCGGAGTGAAGAACGAGGCCCAGGACTTTGGAGAAACTTAATTATCCAACCGTGCTGTGGGAATCTTCGATCTCCCAAACATCCAAAAGGATGGTGTCTTGGACAATACGGACCCAAAATTAGGGACAGTCCAGCTGCTGTCATATTGGTGACCAGTCTTACAGCATGGACTCCGGAGAATCACTCCCGCTGCACCTTCATGGAGGGAGTTTCGTCAGCTCTTAGCTGGTCCCCTTTGCAGACGGGAGGCAATGTCTCGCTAGTGTTTGAGCAGTTACATGCTGTTTCCCAAAAACATGGGAACACAAGACTGCAGAGAATTGAAAACGCAAGCTGGAGACTTGAGAGGTTGGATATAGAGGAATGTCACACTGACAAACAGAACAGAAACATCACCTCACTCCGTGTAGAATTCTTCTGTACCTGACCCGTAGGTAGAAGCTGCGAACAGTCACCCCAATGTTTAATAAAGATTGCCAAAGATTAGCAGAGCTGACAAAGGAGTTGTACATGTATATACCATTGGGTGAAAGGGAATGTTCAGGAGGTAGGAATAGAGCAGAAGCTACTTAATAATTAGTTAAAATATATCTTTAAAGATTGTGGGGAAATAGTTTGGGTTCAGTATTTCAGTATTAAAAACAACGAAAGAAAGAGAGGATGTAACACTGAATGTACTTACTCTGATACATAGAAAATGAGAGGAATTGGTTTCGAAATATCTGGTACATTTTCGAATCGGGCCTGAAAAAGACAAAAGGTGAACCTGTGGTGTGAATGTTGACGGGTGTGCGAGCATTTCCACAGGAGCCCTGTGTCTGACGAATGAAGACTGTTCTGCTGTGTGTGGGTAAAACAGCTCAATTAGCTCAGTAATTGCCAGGGGAGCTACCAGGGTCCACAGCCCTTCAGTACAGAGGGGACAGGTAGGAAAGGAACTACATCCAGAGCCAACAGTATAGACACTGCCATCTCCTGAATTCCCTTCAGGATTCTGGGGCCTCATTCATGGATTACTCAGGTTACACCCACAGGGGAGACAGTGAGAGCGCACGCGAGCAAAAGACAGGGAGGAAGAACGCGAGCAAATGAGAGACAGAGCAAGAGAATGAATGAGTGACAGAGAGTGAGAGAGCATGATAGAGAACGCACGGAAGTGCACAAGAGAGCCAGCACACAAGGGAGAAAGAATGAGAAAAAGATGTATACTGAGAAAGAATGACAGCATGCCAGAGGAAAGAGAGAGAGGGAGATGAATAAAAAGTGTGACACAGAGGAATGAATAACTTGCCCTGCGTGCTTGTATGCGACCAGTTTAAAGTACAGATGGTGGTAAATAGGGAACAGAGTAGGGAGGACTGTGACAGGGGTGGGTTGAGCCTGCTCTCTCCAGGCATGGGGACGGGGAGGAGATGAAGAAAAGTCTGTCCATTCACAGCCAACAGGAGATCCACACCATTTAGATCAGAAAATCAGAAACTTCAACATTGCTGGAACCCAGAGATCCTACCCAGAACAGCCAGAGTAAACAGACAGCACCAAATTGCCACAGTCAATTTAACCATTCCAATAGACATTCCTTACAGGTACAGCCCAGGCTATACAATATCACTTGTATCACACGGCCTCACTTCCCTTTGTAAAAGTATAGAAGTTACATTTGAAATAGAACGGACACACTCCTGTCTAAAAGGGTCTGTACCAGGTGGACACTATTTGACGGACATGGTGGAAGGCAGCATTTTGAGCACAGGGTCTGGAGCTCCACACTGGCCAGATGTGGGGGGAGGTGGGGGAAAGAGGTGGGGTGGGGTTGCTGCTAGGCCCATGGGCGGTGAGCAGTAGCCACACTCAGATTGACAGCTGGATTCCAGCCTTTGTGAAGCCCACGTCATCCAAGCCCTACTTCGAAAACAGGGGCTAGGCAAGAGGCACAAAGAGACAGACCTATCCAGTTTGAACAGCAGTAGACCATAGAGTCACTCCAGCACGTTCCACATTGTTTCCATATACTTTGCTGATATACCCTTCAAATCTAATAAAAATCCATCAATCTCAAGCTTAAAACTGATTTGCCAAAAACAATTTCAATCCTCTACAAGCTCTCATGTCTAAAAACTCTGGCTGTAATGTTTAGACTATACCTCCCCAACCAGCACAGATATGGCGAACAGAACTATTTGTTCCCCTTAATATCTTGAAAACTCTCATTACATTACTACTTAACCTTCTACACTGTAAGGAATATAGAATTCATTTGTGGAATCTCGTCTTACCTTGGAATGCAGGTTTCAATGGTAAATCAGTAAGGGAATCGAATTTTATGGGGAAAAGACATGAAAATGGAGTTGAGGATGATCAGATTAGCCACGATATTATTGCTGTAGCAGACTTGATGGGCTGAATGGCCTATGTCTGCTCCTACATCTATGACCTTCCTTTTGGTAATTCTATATTGCACTCTCTCCATTGTGATGATCTAACCAGCGCTGTGTCAAACTGAAGCACAGCCTTCTAACCTGTTATATTCTAATCCTCGAGATTTCAAGGCCAGTGTTCCCCTTGGGGAATTTTTGTACTTGTTCACAACATTTTAATGATTTATGCATCCTGACCGTCTTGGAGCTCCTCATTTAGAAAGTACCCTGCCTTCCAGTTCACAGACAATGATCACACATTTTCCAATATTTAAACTCATTTGTTACAACCTTGCTAATCTGTTAATATCTTCCTGTAATATTATGCTTCCATCTAAACTGCTCACAATGCCATCTATCTTTGTGTCATTTGGGTATTTGGCTCTGTTTATTAGTAACTGAGCTGATAGGAAACAAAGTGGGTAATTAAAGGTTCTAACATTAACACTATTGTTGTCTTTCAGAGCACCCACATGATCCCTACTTTCTGTCTCCTGCCATTCAGCAATTTCCCAAGCAGATCGATAATTTGCCATCATTCCCATGGGCTTCAGCTTTAGCTACTGGTCGCTTATGAGGAACTTTATCAAATGCATTTTGGGAGCCGACATCAACAAGCATTTCCCTGTTTTAACACATCCATGCTGGCTCTTACTGATCTGTTGAAAGCCCTATCCTTAATTCTAGACTGTCAAACCTTTCCTGATGACACGAGTGGTGGTGTCCCTTTACCTCCGGGTCAAAAAACACCAAGTTCAATTCCCCCTTCAGAGGCTTGTTGGCCACAGAGGATGCATTTGTAACACAGCTGATCAGGCTGAAAATCCTTCCGATAGGCGGAAAGAGTGGGCCAGTCTCCTGGCCAGCCTTATTTGACACAGAGTGGCACCCCTCACAAAGCTACGTCCTCTGTTGACAGGATAGCAACTGTTTCCAGGAAAAAGTCCCACGATGGATGTGGGCCTAAGCAGGGGCTTTGCCTCCCTTGCACGCACCCAGGAGTGTGAAGAAAAAGGAAGGATTTTCCTCACAGTGGTGGGCTATAAACAGTGGAGAAACATACATCAATTTCCAATGTAAAGAACGTTTCTAGAATCGGGTGAAAGTAGCCTGGGCACCTACATTTGTTTTCACCTGTATCTTTTTTCCCTCAAAATCCTGAGATGGAGAATGTCTGGTTCAGAGGATTTCTCACTCATCAGAGCCATTACTTCCTACCTTACCGTGACTGTGTGATAATCTGAGAGAGCTCCAGATGCAATAATTCAATAGTTTTGGAAGAAAGAGTCAAAACTAACTAACAAGCCCCATAGAGACAGGGGGAGATAGAGCATTAAACCACTGTGGGTTACTCAAAAGCCTGCTTCTCAACTTTCCTGCATTGTATATTGCTATGGACTCATTAGATTGTACTTACCAGGTCAGCATAACTCCAGACAGGAAGGCTGAAACATAATGATGCATTACCCACCAGCCTTTAATCCTGCAGAAACAAAAATAAAAATCACTATCAAAACATGACGATTGTAATCGATAGCAGATCGAGAAATTGCTCTTATTTCTGTATGTTTCTAATTTATTGCTGGACTTTTCATTTCTTTATTTTTCTAAATTTTTTTCCCTATGAATTTGTTCTTAAGATTCTGTACCCAAGTAGGCACTGTAAGTGGTGACTTGTAAACTTTTCACTGTACTCGTGAGTATATGTGACAATAAAGCTCATTCTAAACAGGACAGAACCAAGGGTTCAGGTTTCAATTCACAACCATGCTGCCTCCATCAGGACGACAGAAGACATGGGACACTTGGGGTTCAAACGTTAGTCTTGTGACAGGCTGTGAGCGCATGAAAGGGAAGAGGAAACAGTGGAGATGACTAAAATATATCAGGATTATCGATGGCTCTCCAAGTGGGTTTGGAGTCCTATAGCTGCTCATTGGACTCCAGAAAGGCTATCTAGCGACCTCTGCTGGGATGTGTGTGTGTGTGTGTTTGCAGGTCAGTTGAAGATTGCAGATTGAAGGATTACAGCTCTGAGGAAGGGTCACCGGGCCTGAAACGTTAACTCTGATTTTTTTCTTCACAGATGCTGCTAGATCTGCTGAGCTCTTCCAGCAACTTTGTTTTTGTTGTTGTTGAAGATTGCAGATGTTCCTGAGATTTTCCAGCAATTTGGGTGTTGGTTTTGTTTCTGATGTCCAGCATCCGCAGTCTTTTTTCAGTTTTTGTTTCGTGTGTTGAAGATTGCAGAGTGCTAGCCATTGATGTCTCCACAGTCAATAAGTTAATACTGTTTCGATTCTTGCAGGAACTAGCAATACGGGTAAAGTAAGGACGGTCTCCTAGCACTAAAACCAAAGTAATAGATTCAGAGAAACTGCAGGACTGTACAATACAAAACATCTTCCTCCTTTTCACTTCTGGTTTTTACACGAGGGAAATCAGGAGCAGACAATGCTGCTGCTAGCTTTGCATGTGTGGGTAGTTTGAGAGACTGTAACAAACAGGATTGATGCAGCTCAATGACCTGTAGGAATGTACCCAATCAGTTTTTACTTCTGCTTCATTTTAAAAACCAAGAATGCAAGGAAAAGGTTCATAGTACGAGAGATAGTTTAAAATTGATTACCAGGATTAGATTTACCAGGATATTGCCAGGAATGGAGGGTTTGAGTTATAAGGAGAAAGTTGGATAGGCTGGAAGTTTTTTCCCACTGGAGTGTAGGAGGTTGGGGGGTGACCGACAGAGGTTGAAAAACCATGAGAGGTACAGATAAGGTGAATAGCAGGTGTCTTTTCACTAGCGTGGGAGATTTCAAGAATAGGGGGCATATTTTAAGGTGAGAGGAGAAAGATTTAAAAAGGACATGAGGTAAATTTTTTTTTTTTTTTTT